ATTAATAGGACTGAAAATTTACAAGACATTTTACGACATAAAATAGACAACACAGTTATAGAAACATATTAAATATCAACTAAGTGTATGCTGATTGCTTATGACGTCTTTTTTCATAAGATTGTGCGCATGAGAATCACCAATGACCATATTAGCACCCTTACCATTAGTTAAGTCAGCCGAAAGTCAATTCACAAAACAATATCATTTGATGGTTGCGAAACAGCGATGAAACAGTAAAAATTGTACTGTTGTAGAAAATGTTCAAAATAATTTACACCAAATGCTTCAATTATTCAAAATCGTCAAGAGAAGTAGAAAAAAAAACATTTACGTTGAAAATAAAAAAAAAAAAATTTTAATATTTGAACGAGAAACAACGGTGCACTTATCACATACTCGAGTAATGAGCACTGAGCAGACTAATCCCAAAAAATGAGTGGTCCGCTTATCATTAATAACAGACCGACAAATTAATGGAAACAGGCAACAGGGTAATCGATAACGGTCGAGATTCAGTGGTTCCAAAACGTATACGTGATTATCTCAGAGGAATTGGCGGTAACTGCGTACTTTTATTTTTTAATTGTTTTGAAGTTTAGACTCAACAGACTTTAATAGTGACGTACATCAATAAATTACATAGTTCATAGGTGCATGTATACAAGCTACAGGCCACACCCTATAATGGCATTGAAACATGATAAAAAATATTCGGAAAATAAAATGTCATTTACATTTTAACCTAATTTCAATACTCCCGACAAAGTAACCAATAAGGCCAAATATATCGATCCAACGGCCCTTTATCCTAATAATGAAATATCATACACAATGCAGCTTATGCGAAACGACATTATTATAATGCATAACTATACGAGCATACTATACTTAAAGAGATATTCATATAACAGTACCAAACGGAAAACTGCTCAATCAATTAGCGTTGTCGAATTTTTAACTAACTATACTATTACGAATTTGGGTATTTTGTCGATCTCAAAATTCTATTAGTCGTGATCATATTATAAATCGGTGTCAGATTTTTTTGGTAGGTCACATATTTTTGAAAAATTAGCCGGGCATTCGGATTCGCGATTTAATATGACCTATTATCACAATATATTATAAAACTTTTTTATTATGGGTCCGATGGAAATATCCAGACCATAAATTTATTATGGAAATTACCAGGAATTAATATTTTTTTCTTAATTTTACGAACACGACATAAAATAATTTAAAATAAAAATGTAATTTATTAAGATAAAATGATATATTCAATGATATATTGAGAAGTAAAATAGTCTTGAATTAAGTGGTTTCATGCTTACAATTGAATATTTTTTTCTCTACAACTTTTGAATGAAAAATGTTTCCATAAAATCTAAATATTTGTATTCAACTTAAAAATTGTGAAAATTGTTATATGTAGATTTGATCCTCGCCGCACGTATTGTCACTTATCTCGATCTTATAAACAAACGATATTATAATTATATTATAATATTATATTATTATATTATTATTATATATTATATTATTACGATGATTATGTAAGTTGTCTAGTATTGATGAAGGTATACTCATCTAAACTTTAAATAATCGTAACTAATTAACTACTCATTAGAAATACGAATATACGATGTTCAAATTAAACATATTTTTCCATTCAAAAAGGTAAATACTTATATATAATTATAACAATTTAAATTGTATTTTTTTTTTTTTAATATTATTTAAAAATTACATAAAATTTATAAAAACCATATTTAAAAAAAAAAATTTAATTTAAAAAAAAATGAGTTAAAATAAAATGTATTTCCTTGTATGATATATGGTTATTGGTTATAGAGAAGTGATTTTTATAACTGAATGTTACGAAATGTTGTTTAAAATATAAAAAATAACCAAAAGACTTAATGGTGTGAAAGTATGAAACAAAGTTTGAAAACCATTGCTATAAAGTATATTTTACAGGTTACCATTGCGTTATTATGTATTATCTATATGTTTTTAGGTTCAAACATTAAGTGAAAAAAAAACAATACCACCTTAAAATATTATTTATCAAAAAATTCAATGAATCTAAAATTGAATATATACTGAAGACTTATATTTTAATGTTTAAGTGCTAAACCAATTTATATATATTGAATCTTTTACTATTATACCTAAATAATATTGTTTCGACTAAACAAAAAACTAAATAAAAAAAAAAAATCAAATACTATATAGCTAATATGTCATTCGATGTTAAAATGTTGATTTTAAAGGCTATTCTATTTTTTTTAGTACTTTTGAATATTGTGGATAATATTACGATGTATGATAATATTTTCATAATTTTATTTTGATGATTATTTTACCATTAGGTTTCGCAAAATTTGTCAGTTAACAATTATTTGTGAAAATACACCTAATACCATTAACCGAAAAATAACAATTACTATAAAATACCTATAGTATCTATATAAATAGTAGCCAGTAGATACAATAGGTACTTATAATGTTGACTTTTGTAATAATTATAAAAATAATTTTATTATTTGGTATATCTTATACCACTTATTACTTATATCTATTATATATCTTATACATAATATATAACATGGATATAATGTTATATTGATTATTGGAATATAATATTATGTATAATACGTCCATATGACATAATATTTTTTGATTACAATGAATATCAAACATTTACTATACAACTTAAAAATTCCCTTATTCATAAAGAGCAAAAAAAAAGTTCATTTTTTTAAAATTAATTTAATTAAGTTTATCGGATGACCGCAAACCAGTTGAACGTTGAACTATAGATTATAGATAATCATTTAAAATAGTGCATTCTTCATAAAGACTACTACAGGGCAAAATCCATTGAAACTTGCAGGACTCAAATGTTAAATACCTACATTTAAAAAAATGTTCTAGCCTTTATCCTCTTCTGTTTATACATTACTATTACTATTTACTGGACACTGATAATAATACCTATATTATACAATACAGAAAATATTATTGATAGGTAATAGGTAATATAAGATTAAGTACTAGAATACCTATACCTACCAGCTATATTTAAACATTTATAAATATTTATAAAATAATAATTGTTAGATAATATTATGGTAAAATGTTTATGAAAAATGTTAGTGAAAATAAAAATTGAATCCTGAAGTTTTAGTATACTAAAAACATCTTCATATGGGTTTTATATTATTTTATACATGAAATACATACACACAGCACTGATTAAATACATAGACAATGTGAAGAGGCGAGAGAGCGGGACAGCTCCAAATAAGGAAATGACTAAATAGGTCCCGTCGGCCGTCGAGTGATATTTCCTTAACGGATAAAAGAAAACATAATACGTGTAAAAATTCAATTCGACGTGTTCCATATTCACACATTTAATATATTAGGTAGGTATTTCATATTTAACATAATAATATATTATGTCATCATCATATTATAGGTAAATAGTGATGTGTAAATTATAATTATAATATATGCCTACCTACCTACTTAATTAGGTACATATTTATTGTTTATTTTGGTGTAGAAATAAAGGTTGACCGTTGACAACTTAAACAAGTATATTTTTATCATGAAATCACAACTCAAATTACACATTCATGTTTATTGTTGAATATCGCGTTTACTTTAATAGTGTTATTGACGAATATTGCTAAGTAATTGATTTCAGTGTCTGTTCTATACCGACGTTAAAAAATCATATAAATCGGTAAGCGTCATGAGATTTTGTGCCAGTTTATTTTTTTAAATACCTACCATTATCATTGATATATATGTATGTAGAAATTAGCTTATATTATTATGTTTTTATTCTATTGGTTATTAATAAGGATGTGAACTTAATACACTAAATGTCAAAAAAAATACAATAAAATACGCACTTAAAAATTAAAATGCAAAAAATGTATTATAAAATGGCCAAAAATTATAATATAAAATGCAAGAAAATGCAAAATAAAAGTTTTATGAATGAATTGAGGATTCGTTGTTACATAATTTAAATAATGTACTTAAAAATTACGTTTCACAATCACAAAAAAATAAAAAATGCACTTTCCTACAAATTCATAGTTCTAGTTATTAATATTTATTATATTTGAATATTATTGTTTTTCTCATATCCATCGCCAACGACCATACCACGTTGAATACACCAGTTCTCGTCCGATCACTGAAGTTAAGCAACGTCGGGCGTAGTTAGTACTTGGATGGGTGACCGCTTGGGAACACTACGTGCCGTTGGCTTCTTTTTGTTGATAAATACAATATTTATTTATAATTTTAACTTAGGACAGTTTTGTTTTGCCGTTGCCCGTTGACAAGTTATTTTTTATAATAACTTTTAAATTACATAGGTAATATAAAAATATTTTCATTCAACCTAATCTAATCCGTTAAGCTGCAACTACCTAACTAATGTTAGATTCAAATATTTCAAATATATATTTACCTTTTATTTATATTTTATAATAATATTTCGCATTTTTTTTTTTTTTTTAATGAAAAGAGGCTTCAACAACTAAGGTTATTAGCCTTTTAAGTATTACATAGTGAGTGTTACATTAATTATGAATTATAAGATACAAGTTGTAACATATAAATATATGTTAATACATAATATAAATATATGTTACAACATATTTTTTTTATTTGTATTGCGTTATTATTATATTATCATACTAAATTTAACCTAAAATTAATAAATTTAATTAAAAATTTATAAAATGTTCAATTATTAAAATAATATTTAAAAGATTTTAAATGTAACATAAAGTTTGTCATAAAAAGCGTATTGAGTAATAATAATCATAATTTTCAAAATTTATTTTGTGGAAGCTGTGAATAATTGTGAATTCATGGAGGTAAAAATAAAATCCTCCGTTGGATAAAGAGTTATCGAAGTTTCAAAGAAACTATAAGCACGTGGTTTACGATAACGTTAGTATACGCGACGAATAATAATTGATAAGATACCATAAAATTCGTCTCGCCGCTCTGTAAAACAATATTTTATTGATTTTTTCATTTACAACTGACGGTGAATAATTTATTCGTTCAACAAAATGGCTTGGACTTACGATGCGGTAATTGGATTCAGCAATGGAATGTTAAAAGGTATTATTGAGAGTTTTATTTTGTTTTGTTAAGAAATATGTGTAACACAGATTTTGATCGTAACCAAAAAGTGTACTAATAATTTTTATTAATTTCTTTGTTTCTAAATTCATAGAAGTGTGAGAACATTTAATGTTTATTGTTTAGGACTGTGCACGTTATTTAATTAAGTTAATGCATTAATATAAATAGTTAATAATATTATTATAAAAATATAACTACCCTTGAGCATTATTATTCAGACTTAGAAATGAATATTGTATAAGTTATTCTAAATTGAATCATAATTAATAATTTTTACTATATAATAATCCTAGTCATTATAAAAGTTTAATGGTAACTAACTAACTATATAAACATTATTAATTAAAAATATGTTGATCATCTCGATAAGCATTTTATAGATTAATATTATCATAATAAACTTTTGACATGTGGGTTGACATGATTATGAAGGTGATTTCTTAATTTGGAATAGTACAGCTTTGCTGTTTCAGTGACTTTAGAAATGCAAAGGTCGGTGTGAAGAGTGTAATTTGAGATATAAGGAGGAGCATCAGTTATGAGTCGGAGGATTTTCGATTGAAACACTTGTATTTTTGTATTTGAAATTCTGGCAGTTCCCTAGAGCTGTATATTGTACAGCCAGATGGGTTTAAGAAGATTATAGGTATGAATTTTGGTTTTTAAGTTTTGAGGATTTGCCGAGGATGGGTCTGAGTGAGTAGAGACGTTGGTTTAGTTTTAATTTTGTTGTATGAATATGTTTAGCCTATGTCAGGCATTTGTTGAAGGTTAGACCAAGATATTTGGCTATGTCGGAGTTTGGAATAGGTTTGTTGTTTATATACACTGGAGTAGGATTATTTTACATTTTTTATTATATAGATTGTATAAATTCTAGATTAAAAAAAAAAAAAATGTATCTCATATAACTTAATATGTGTCTATAGCAAAAATAACTTAATTTTATAGCAAAAACAAATGTGAAAATCTTAACATGTATAGTACCTATTTTAAAATAAAATTGCTTACTTATGCAGGATTATAATATCATTGATGTACATACCGTATAAAATCTTTGTGAATGTGTACTGATACAATATTTATGTTTTTTCATTCAATAGAAGAAGAGTAAACAATAATAGCTCATGTTTAAAATAGGTACATAATGCAGGCAGGAGGAATAATATAATTGACTTGGTATTATGTCATATTACTATTTTCCTTTATTCTTTACTCAGCAAACTCTCATTTATACTATATCTTGTATACATGCCCAGGTGTCCTTTAAATATTCTAATCTAAATAAAGTTACTACCAATTTAATTATTATCTCCGAAAATAATTTTCTACACAATATTTACATAATTTTATATTTTTTTAAAATTATTAAAATAATCATTTTATATCATCAACAACTAGCCAAAAAAAATGAATAAGTTTCTTAGTTCTTAAATTAAATAGGTATATTTATTTACTAACAATAGGTAATCTAAGAGTAGCTTAATAGTTGTCTAATATGTTTTAAAATTATTTTTTCTTAACAGGTGTTGAGCTTCAAAAAAACAAGTTTAAATACACTAATTTATTGGAAGCATCTTTAAAGTTAAATCATCTTAGCAATTATGATGAAAACAAAGCTATTTTAAGTTCAAAAAGAAAAATTTTATTATTCGATTTGAAAAATAAGAAAATGTCTAAAAAATATCTCATTCGAGAACCAGGAAATATTGTTGGTGTACTTAAAAGGAATAAGTAAGTAACTTATAATAAATATTTTGTATTTCATAGCTAATAGTTTATGTTGTATAATAGTATTTTATATGCTGGCGTGGACAATGGAATGGTGGTTATTAAACCTATTAAAACCACTTCAATTATTTCTGAAAAATTAATTGCTGGACCACATTTATCATGTGTTAGACAAAACCTTTCATCAGATAAATTAGCAACAGGAGGAAATGAAAATCCGTTAAAAATATGGGATTTAGAAACAAAAGTGATTGAATTCACTGCTAAAAGGGTAAGTCTTAATTTAATTTATTTGTTTATTTTTTAATAATTTAAATGTATTTACCTATTTTTTGTTATAATTGTAGTATATATTTTGTTAACAATGTATATTTAAGAATAATTTGATGTTAATAGTTTTAAAGATTCCTATTTATTTTGTTTTATTATTTTTAGCCTAAACCAGATATGCTTCAACTCAAACAGCCTTGTTATGTGTCTGATATTCAATTTTATAACAACAATAAAGTAGTAGTTTCTCATAAACATGGAGTGGTAATTATTAATTTATAATTTATATAAAGTGTAAAAATGTTTAAAAATGTATATTCTAAAAGTTTCTAGGTTTTACACAGTGGTAATTAGTAATCAGTTATTTATTTTTAGAATATTAGATACAGATATTTTTAGTTTTTTGTTTTTAAAGCAATTATTAACATATATATATATTTAAATACTATAGTATTATGATTTAATATGTTTAATTAATATTTTGCTTTAAATGCTCATAAAATAAATATTCATGATTTACCAATTAGTTACACGTGAATATAATTCACTGATTTTTTTAAATTTAATTACACACAAACAACAAACATGTTATCAAACGATCCTTAATTTACATTCAAATCCGAGAGCATTAATATTTATTTACAATGAATAATAACGTAGTATTATAATTTAAAATATATTTTTATATTGTAGGTTGATTTACATGATCCATTGTCTAGTCAAAGACGACCAGTGGCATCTTGTAAAGCAGAAAACACTGGTTTTGTCAGCTTAAAAACAATGCCAGATTACAGTGATTAGTAAGTGTATATTTATCGTTGCAACACTGAGTACCAATTTAAATTTATATATTTTTGCCTAACAAGCACTAAACTAAATTTAATATTTTGAATAATATATCTCATACTGTATTGCCCCTCTTAGCTAAAATTTCATAAGGTTATAATATTAAAACGAAGTGTGAAATATTGTAAAAACAAAAACAATATTATCAAAATTTAAACAATTTAAATACCATACATTTTCAAATAAATAAAATTATATTATGATTACTAAATATAAATATTTGAAAATTATAAAATCATAAAAAATGATCTATTTACTATAATTATATTGTAGTTTAGAATAATATTGTGTAATTAAATACAATTCTTATTTATATTAATGTATTAACATTTTTTGTTTCAATTAATTATAATTTGAAAATATTTTAACTTTAATATTTAGTACTTTTCAACGTTAATTTAAATATTGTTATGCTACCTTTGGTTTATCAATATGTTTAAATTAATTTTCTTAAGACTTAGGCCCATAGAATTATTAAATAAATAAATAATGTTTGATGTATAATAATTTTAAAAAGATGCAAAACCAGTTTTTTTAGAAGTGATTTTGTCTATTTTAGCTTATATATACATTGTTGTATATTTATACTTTAGTGCTTTGGGGCCTAGGGTCTAATTTTATATTATAGTTAACCATCTAAATAAAAGTTATAAATATTTAAAAAAAAAAAATCTTTTTAAATTTGAAACGTTATTTGTTTTATTTAATTAAAATAAATATAATAAAAATAAATTTAATGTTGTGTAGTATAAAAGTATTTAAACTGTGTAGTGGTAGGCCTTCGATTTTATATAAAATTTAATTAAAATAACTTTATTGTAGTTTGAGCTTAAATAACACATTTTTTTCTTGTGGAATATTAATATTAGTTTTTTTAGAAAAAAATTAATAATTGATTATGTAATTTCATGAATTTAAGTATTTAAGGCTTAATATTTAAGATGATACCGTATTAATAACATTGTTACTTGTATTTCATAAATGTAGTTTTCTAAAATATTTGAATATTATTGTGATTATTAAATACTCTTTTCTTAAATATTCAATACATATTTATATTGAATTTTTTTTTTTTTATTTTATCTACTTATTATTTTATAAAAATTAGTTTAATTAGCAATTTATTTTAAATGATATAGAATATTTAATATAAATAAGTATTAGCATACTTTATTACAGTTATGCGTGTTGATTAAAAATAACTTTTTTTATTTTTTTATTATGTAGGGTTAGATTAAATTTAATATTATTTCATTCAAAAAAAAAATATATATAAAGTTAAACAATTTTCTGATAACCAAATTTATTTATTATATTTACCAAACTTACATTATAAACATATAAAAACAAATTAGATTATTTTTTGTTGAATTAAAATTAGATATTTTTCAGTAAATAAGTATGATTAGTAAAGATACAAATATTTTAAGCATAACTTAAAAATTTCTATTGTTACTTCTTACATAACTTTTTGTTAATTTTTCTGAGTTAATAAATATTGAAATAAAATTAATATTTAATAGTGATGTCAAATCATTTTTTTCTTATTATCTATTAAGGTTTATACTAAACAATTATTAAAACATTCAAAGATATTTTTGGATTGATATTAGTTAAACTTTTATATTATTTCTAATTTCATCCTCCATATTTATACACGTGTCATTTATTGTGGTGATTTACAAATTTAAAATTATAGTTCAGTTGTCAATAGTTATTAATAAAACATGTAAATATTTATAAATTATTTTTTGAATTGCAGTGAAGTAATCGTAGGAACATCAAAAGGATCTATATTTCATTATGATTTTCGTGGAAATTCAACATTACCAGTGAAAACATTCAGAGGAAGTACTGGTTCAGTAAAAGCAGTGTCTTGCATAACTTATTTAGACCAAATGCATGTAATGAGCATAAGTTTGGATTGTCACATAAGACTACACAACTTTATGACTGGTGACCTCACTATGCAGGTATTGTATTATTTATTGAAATATTAATATAATATGTTATTAATAATTAATTTATTTTTTATAAAATAAAATGTATTATATCATATTATATATTAATTCTAATTATTAGAGCCAACATTTTGAAGTACCTTATATTTTTACTACTTGACTCTTAAAAAAAATTGTAGAACACTTTTGCAAGAGTTTTTATGTTAAAGTATTATAGAAGACACTAAAATTACATTGGAGTAAGATAATCTATTATTAAATCTAAAGAATAGAACTTAATCTGTGTTTTCCCATTGATTTTTATTCATCTGGTTTTCCATTTTACATAAAAATATTCAAATACTTTTAAAAATCAATATGCAAACAAAGATAATATTTTTATCTTAAGTTTTATAATAAATCAATATATTTAAATATTCATATTTAATAACATAGAGTTAGTTTTGGTGACATCACAATTATTATATAATTTATTTTTTAGACAAAGTCAATACATCAGGTAGGTAATTTTAATCTGATACTGACTAACATTAATTTTTAGTTTATCTGTATTAAGTATTTTATATGGCTTTATATGTGTTGTGTTCTAATTTCTAAGGCAATAAAATATGATAAGTGTAAATTATAATAATAATAAAAATAATTTTTATAACATCAAAATTAAAATGTTTTTCATTGTTAATTATTAATACATTATCTTATTTGATCAATTATGTTATAATTATATTATTATTCATGTATATTTTAATCAATTTTGTGTTGAAACGTTGAAATTAAAATTATTAACAATAAATTTTTATTTGTTACAGGATTATATTGTAGCCAAGCCATTAGCATTATTGTTCAAACCAGATGAAGCTTAATTTAATTTATTTGTTTTTCTTAAATTGTAAATTTACAATGACCTTTTTATATAAATTAGTATAAGAGTATTTTTTAAACTTCTATAATTATTACATACAATAAATTTAAAATTATTCCCTAGTGCTTTATTATACTATCTATAGATAATAAGCAACATTAATTTAAATAAATTAATAATCTAAACTGAACTGAGTACTAACTCAAATTTGGTTAATTAGAAGAGGATGATTATTTGAACAGTTGTAGTTTTTTTTTTTTTTAATATTAAACATATAAATTTGTGGGAAAAGATTTTTATCTCCTAAATATGATTTGTGTACTCCCACAAAAAGATTAGTAATGTAGTGAATTATTAATAAGTTATTTCTGTAAACTACACCGAAATGAAATAATTTTTCTTTTATTTCTCATATAATATTGTATATCATTTACATCATTATGTTGTTTAATACAAGTAAAAATAAATAAATAATTTTTTATTTGTTTTTGTATCATATAACTTAAAAAAATCCAATTGTCAAATATTTTTTTTTATTATTCTAATCCAATTTCTACTGTTATTCCATTAGTACAAAAGTATAAAGCTTACTTTCACATATTTTTTAAATGTTAAGTTAATATTATTTTAAGATTTGTAGTATTGGTAATTGTCAAAGGAAATTTAGTATTATATACAACTATTACATTTTAATGATTGTGCATATTATATTTATTCTATGTATTAATAATGAGTGAATATTGAATATTTAACTATTTTATCACAATAAATTTTTCACTTCCCAAATATGTTATTTATTTATGGCAGTCTATTAACTATTATTTTGCTATGTGTTTTTATTTTTTAGACTTCACTGTGAATAGCATAATTATTTATCTTATTATTTAATGCGCAATCTGATCAGAATCATATTTAAACTATTCTTGTTTTTGTTATTGAATAAGTATTTAAGAATGCCTTTAATAATTTTACAATATGTATGATACCTGGAAGAAGTATTTTGAATTCTTAGGTACATTGATATTTCAGTTTTTCAGTCTTAAATTTTTTTTTTTTTTTTAAACGTCAAATATACTCAGGTGTGTTCAGTTGCGAATAAATTAACAAAAATTAATTATTGTTATCTTTGAAGAAGTTTATTGGATTAATTGTTTGAAGATTTACATTCTAGCATTCTGGAATAATAATTTTTATAATAGTTCATATGTGTACCTGAAATATATAAAAATGCTTCACACATTTTTGATTGTATTGAAAAGGGACAATCATCTACGAGTTCAAATACATAGTTTTTATTTTGCATATTTTTGCATTTTTTGTACTTTTTTGAAGTTAGGGTCATTTTTTTTTATACTTTATTGAAATCTGGGTTATATTTTTATAAATTTTGAATTTTTTAAAATTTTAATTGGTCGTTATTGATCGTTATAAATTATTGTACAAACATATAAAGATACAACATTAAAATAAAATCATAAACATATTTTCTAAAAATATTTAATACTTCAAAATACCAATCGTTTTTATGTATAATATAAAATATACTTGTTAGATTAATAGAGCAATAATCGATAATAATGTTCGATTACGTGTTATCTTCATCAATTTATTATTAAATTTAACGTGCCATTATTGGTCATTATACCAGAAGATGAATTTATTAGGTATCTAACTTACTTAATTGTTATTTATTTTGTTTACATTATTATTTTTAATCATACTCATAACCATGCTTAGTTATTTTATGAAGTTATGTATGGATACTTAAAATCTATATAATTCATAAATTGTATATTTTGAGTTAATAAACCTATAATTGAGATATAATTTAATTACACATCAAAAACTAATTATTCAACCAGATACCTTACTTAGGTTTGTGTAAGAAAAAAAAGCTTTATACTATCTGTAAAACTAAAAATGCATTAAAAAATATATGAACGACAAAGTTAAGTTTAAGAAATATATTTGTTAATTTTTTTATAGTAACAAATAAGTAAGTTTAATATTTTTCATTGAAAAATAAAATAACAAAAAAGTTTAACATTAGGAACATAATATTAATATAAAATAGTAGAAGTATAATTTTTGTTATGGTTTAATTATTGTAAATTAAAATAATAGTAATGAGTAATGATTAATGTGTTTATTGTACAAATAAAGGTATTTTAATTGATTACGTAATAATTCCTGTAAAGTAACTGAAGTTAAAAGTTAACAGCATATTATTATTATACACTTTTAATCTAATTGACCATATAATTTTCATAAATGTATCTGTATAAAACAAAGCTAATAATCTAAATTTTAAATTACACTTAATTATCAAAAAGTTAGAGAGTAGGTAGGTATTAGTTTTATGACTATAACTAAAATGTTTGTAATTTACTAGTTTAAATTGTTCATATAATAAAGCTGCAGAGCTAAAAACTATTTTATTATTAACTTACCAAAATTGTTCAAAGGGTACCATCATTTTTAATTTGTGATGAAACGTCTTCTAAGTACAATGGATTAGCTAAAAGTTTCTAAAATTATTTGTTAATGATTATTCTATTTTATATTATGATTCTAATTTCATATCTTGTAAATTATAATTTCCATAGATTAATTATCTTATCTATTCTTAAGCAAGATCCACAATAGTAGTTGTTTTTGCCAGGAAAATTGTTAACAAGATAATATAAATTTATCAAGTCATCAAATACCTAGATATTCTTTGCAAGATTTTTTTTAATGATTTTGGAGAAACAAAAAATTTAGATACATTTTTTTCTCAATTAACTAATAATACTCTTGGTATGGTTCAACCATAATATACATATTTTTATTAGTTGTTAAATAGCTTTTTAGCTATTGTCTGAATTTACTATTAGCATTAATTTTAGAATATTCTAAAATCAATGCTACTGGGTACGTTCATGAACATTGCACTACTTTCTTTCAAAAGTGTATAAGTATAGATGTATACCTATTATCGTTAACACTTCTAATATAAAGTATACATGATTTTTATATTAAAGTATTAGTCAATTTGGCATTTATTTCAAAACTGTCATAAACTTTACTTCGTACCTATAACGGTACTTCTTATTATTATTTTGAATAATTATGCATCAATGGTTTTTATAGAAAAAAATACTTCTTTGATATTTTATTGGATAAAATACGAATTAAAAGAATTGAAGTAGGTGATTAAGTTACAAATATTAAGATCGGTATATTTGATAATTGGCAACAGTTAGAATTGTTTTTTATTAAAAATGTAATAAGTGTAAAAGAATGCATGAAACCAGCTAGTACCTATCTACCTACTTCACAAAATTTAAATTTAAAATTGAGTTTATAAATTGGTGATATTATTTTAAAAATTGACGTATTTGAATTTAAAATGTTAAATATTAGCGAGCCAAGTGATCGATACATTTTTTTACAAACGGAAATTAAACAGAATGCATGTCTTTTATAGATAACTTTTTTTGTTGCCTTAGAATTTTGATTTAAGGATCGATATTACATAAGTTTTACACAATCATTCAGTATTAAATACTATAAAAAATAATAAATACAACATTTTTTTTTTACATTAGGTACATATTATAATCCAATTATATTTTATTTTAAGAACAATTTGTACAGTACATAATATTAATATACAATAAAAATATGAATACCCGTTCGATACAACCATTCAGGTGTTTCTATTTATCAATATTAAAAAAAAATTAACAAAAAATGGTCGTGACCATCCCATGTAAAGAGATTTGAACGTGGTTACATAAATCATGTCAGCAGCACAGCATATATCTATATATATAGCTTAGTTTTGTTTTCCTAACACGTTAAATTTCAGCGTGACTTCTATCCAACTAAAATTTAGTGTTAGGTTTTCATAAACCTTCAAAATGTTCTAAATAATAATGACGAGTTAATTTTTCAAATTTTCAATTCTATCATACACGAATTAAGTAGGTATTAACTTCCATAATTATAAAATTGTGTTATATCAAGACGATAGCCAGGTATATAAGAATTCAGATAGAAAATAAATCTGACATCTGTTAACTAGTAATAATTTCGTATATTCTTATTTATAAAACCATGTAAGAAACTAAAAACTTGGTTTCGGATTGTAGGTACATTATTTTTGAAACGAAAAATAAATAAAATCATTTTAAAATTACTATAAAATATTATATATATGTTTTTATACATATATATTTTATGCTAAAGAAGATAACTTTATGAGATTTATGTATACACAATAATACAATATATAATATAATTAACCACATTTGGCATTTCAATTAAATCAACTAGGTAACAACGATAAAAACTATTTTAATAATTTATACACACATACATATATACGTACATTGTACATAATATACAACACATTATCTACTTATATTATAAAGAGATTATTTTCAAATCGATTGCACACGCCAATATTGCATCGTTACTCGTATATTATAATTGCGGCGAACTTTATGGCGCACAAACGTTACTTTACAAACAAATTAATCACACCATTCACATCATATTACTTAGGTACCTACATATAGGTAGGTGGTATTTTTAATATTGCAGTTATCTGTTATTTTTCACTCGCGATAGTCAGTGGCCCTAAATAGTGTGATTTATTTTAAGTTAAATATCATAACTGTATTAAGTATCAATTTGTTTGCGTGGTAGGATGGTTGAACCAATATTAAAATCGATATAAGTGAAAACTTATTTATTATTTTGCCAATAAATTTATGAAGCTTATAAAAACTAACGAACTTATGTTTTAACCTAATGGTAATTAAAAATCATTTTTGAATTTATTTTAAGATTTTTTTGAATTTTTTTTATGAAAATTCGTTTGTGCTTAGAAGTAAGTGCGGGAGATGGAAGCGGAGAGTTCAACCTCGGCATACGTCGTGTTAAAAAGTTATCTACGTGATACCCGTGTAACGTGTCATCTGGAACGTCAGTAACACTGTTAACAGTCTCTATAAATCTAATGAGCAAGGTGTAACAAAATTCAACGAAAAATAAAAAATCGAAATCATGGAATCTATAAAAGGTTGATAGAGTTAAAATAATATTTCTATTCTTAAATTTGAAGATTAGAATATTTCCGAGAACCTATATCTTATATATTTACAATGTCGATTTTTAAAATAATGTTTAACAGAATATTGTCTAACGGAGAGTGTATCGCGTCTTACGTTTTCTTAAATTAAATTAAATACCATTATTTTTACCGTATTTGTTTACTCTCGTACGAGTAAGGTATAATCGAATAATAATCGTGCCAGAAAAAAAACCTATACATGATATAAAAATTAAAAATAAATATCTTGTAAATGAGATGTGTCTGGTTGTGCACAGTTATGTCTGTTATCTGGCAATAGTTTCAAAACAAGGTAGATATGACTAATATGATATCCATATATTTTTATTATTTTTAAATCTTATAACTATATGATTCATACGTGCAATACGTGTATGAATACTCGTATAATTTCGACTAATTATATTTTTGGATTTTCATATCTAATTTTCAGAATTATGAAACTGACTATATACTACATTATACTTTTTTGTGTTAAAGATATGATGGGTAAAAATATCATTGTCTTTTTTTCCAATGCTATTAGGTGATAACTAAAATACAAAAATAAGTCAATTTGAAATGTAAAAGAAATCAAATAAATTGAACTCACATTTATTGTGAATTGTATAGATTAAATTATCTAAATAATATTACTTATGTATGAAATGCATATTATTTTGTATAAAAATTCACAACATTTAAATTTAATTAAAAAAACGCATATAATAAGATGGAATCAGACATTTAAAAAAATGACGACACTAGCTACAAAAAAATGTCGATTAGACGATAGCACATATTACATTTTGGCATTGGAATTAAAAAAATACATTTAGTACAAGATCAGCTCAAAAATGGTTCTTAAAATAATTGCAAGTTTAAAGCTGTCTGGTGGTAAGTACCTAGGTATATGTGGCGTCGCAGTTCATTTTTTACAGCTAATATATATGAGCCTTATGCCATAGCTCTAATTTTTAAAAAGTAGAGATAATAAGTTTCTTTCAATTACTGTTAAAAGTTTTATAAAATGTGCAACTATCGATCAAATTGAGTTATTATTTATTAATAATAAATAATTATTTTTTGCCGGTTACAAATCGATTGACGGACGTGTTTGATGGTCTGAAACACAAATCGTGGGCTCAACGAACGTTTTGTTAATATTATATGTTTGACATTATTATTAAAAAAAAAAAAAAAAAAACAATTAAAAAATTAATAATAATATCTATACATAAAATAGTGGGGTTTTGTTTACAATTTGTGCCATTTTGTATATTTTGTTTTAAAAATACACATTAATATCTAATAATATAATAAATAATAAGATAGAGGTACTGCTTTATATAGTTTATAATATATTATATTACGATAATTAATAAGCATCAATTCATTATGAATGCGATGCGGCCGAAGTTTGTGGTATGGGCTGGAGCATTTGGTGATGGTGGTTGTGGTATAGGTGACTGAGATGATTGTTGTTGTTGTTTATGTTATTGTTGTTGTTGCTGTAATGGTGTTGGTGAGGATGATGGTGATGGTGATGGAGGTGGTGTGAAGGATAATCGGACGGGAACATTTCCGTGTCAGATGTCGGGTATCCGGCCACCACTGTGGCCGTGGCAGATTTGAGAGCCGCGGCTGCTACAACGGAACTCATTTTTCCGCCACCTGTGGACGAGGCCACGCTCTGGTAACACATCGACTTGACACCGTGCATGTCAGTCATTTCATAGTTTCTGCTGTCTGAACTTCCAATACTCAGCAAATCACTAATAAAAAAAAAAAAAAAAACAAAAAAAATTACAAAACTAGTAAATCAACAGCATAAAATGTATTATGGACATAAATTTAACTAATCGTCTGGAAAAGGGTGTGAAAATAAATAAATCTATCATTTGAAGCGCTTTATAGACGAATTCGATAACATTAAACTGTGCAGCGATAAAATATGTTTGTTTTGTGCACGAGCGCAATATATTAAAATGAGACATATGATATTATTTTATTTTAATCATTATTCATTATTTATTATTATACCAAAATGACTATATACGATTTGTTCTTCATCTGAACAACACTCGAATAATAACCAAATAGTATATTGCGTTCTAATGTGTACTCATAGCAATTTTATGTAAATTACATACCAAAATTTAATATTAGGTATCCACCTAATATAGCAATGTGGAAATGAGTAATAACTAATAAGAGTTGGAAATTTAATGCTATATCATTGAGAATATCTGTAATGTTTGTGTTAAATTTGAATTCAATGATAAATTCGTGTATACAAAAAACGATTCTGAGCAAAGACGGTCAGTCAGTTCATATGTTACAAAGTATTTTTTACAAAATTTTTTTTGATATTGCTATTAAAGTATTGAATTTTACTATAATAGGTACCTGTTGGCTGTTATGGTATAGTTTGATATATTATTTTTCAAAAAAGTTTCATTAGTTTTATTATTAGTATTTAATTAATACAATAGTATATAAGGTATTAAATCATAACAATGTAAGTAAAAGTTTTAAGCCCTTAATTTTGTTTGTTCAATAAATGAACAACGCTGTGGTAACAATGATATCAACTTCATGTGGTACTAAAGAAATTAGTCGCGTTAAAACATTTTCAACCAAAAAAAAAAAACCAAATATTTTGGTTCAAAGACCAAACTTAATTTCAAAGTACAACATATATATGGGAGGTATCGATCAACAGGATCAAAATCTTGGATATTACCACGTTGCAGGAGTTTGTGCAGGAAAAAGTGGTATTGGCCTTTAATTACATGGATATTTGATGTAGCAAACTAGCAATATAAAACAGTTAGATTTTATACAATAAAACAGGGAGACCAAAAGTATCTCAATTTGAATTTAGAAGAGAAGTAGTAAATGTTTATTTTGAAAGATACAAAACTACTCCTATAGGATCAGAATGCATATTAAAATAAATTTATTTGTCAGTTTCTCATATGTCAAATGTATTACGTTTGACATAATCACTTGGTAAAAAATACAGAAGAAAAAAAATGGAACTAAAAAAAAAAAAAAAAATAATGGGAAAAATGCAACTAAATTGTACAAATAATGTGTTCAAAATATTCTGATGGGTTATACATCAATTGTTTTAAACCTTTTTATTCCCAATGATTAATATTTATAAAATATTTTGAGATTTTTTTTCGTACAAGCTGTATAAGTATATAAGGAAATGTTATTTTTTAAATGTACTCAACAGTAGTATATATTTGTATGTTCACAACACTTTTCAGTTGGGAGATTACTTTACTTTATAATTTTATGTATATGCTTAAAGGATTAAAGAAGACTGTAGATTGTAATTGAATATTAGTTAATTTAAAAAAAAGCACAATAAAATTGTCTATTTAATGAAAATTAAGTGAGAATTATATCATTATACATAATTATAATAATGGATATGTATTTCATATTACAGAAATGGGCAACTGGCAGTTTGCGTACAGTTTTTTATCTAGTCAATGTTACATTTTCAAATTACTTTATAATATTTTAACATTTATCTATATTTTATTTTATGTTTTTTAACATTGAAACATAATGTAAATATAAATAAATAAGTATAAAGGGTAATTGTAAATATTAAATTTGAATGGTATTTTTATTGCTTTCTCTATTCTATGACCCATTAGATTTAAAAATTTTAAAAATTAGTCCTTTAGTAATTTTGAATTTCCTATATCTGATATAATATATATATAATACGTAATGCCGATGAAGATTTCAATTTTTATATTGTCATCTCCTTTAATTGTGATTTAATATTTTTATTTTTAGTTCAAGTTATTATTTTGCGAATAATAATGTTTAATAAAATTGTTTAATTGTTTAGTTAAAATATTGTTCATTGTCTATGTACTATATTATTTTTAGAATCAGCAGGTGTAGCAATTAAAAAAACAATTAACAAATTAAAGTAATTTGTTACTATCTATATATTATTTTTATTTTATTATTAATATTTGTTTAAAAAAATCTAAGGATTAGTTAAATAATAATTTATTTTATGGTTATGAATTTCTCAAATAAAAAATCGGTGAAAATTAAAACGTGTAATAATTAATAGAAAATTAATTACACATTCAATATTTACTTTCGGAAGAACGTAGATTATTTAATAATTTATATTATTAGAGTAAACTTTAACTTTAGTTCATTTTAATAATAAATTCTTGTATAATTAACATTTTATTAATTTAAAATTTCGATTTTCTAATATTCTGAAATTAGAAATGGCCAATGAGACAAGACAAATTACCATGTGAAGAAACCATGAAAAGTGAAAAGTATGAAATCAAAATAAAATGAAAAATAAGATAATATTTAAAAAATATTCAACTAATGTCTCGGTAAAATAGGACAAATAGCGCCACTGATGTATTTCTATTTTACAGTTTAGTTTTCCATGGGTTAGAATTAGGTTGACCGTGTATGGCTTAAATATGTTGATTAGAGGTTCGAGGCCGATACGTTTATCGAAATCTGTCAGGTGTATAGAGAGATTATCTTGGATGAAAAATACGACTTCGTTTTAAATATAAGAAAATAAGATAATGTTTACCAATTTTACAGATATAAAATATATCTAGTCTCAAAACATGAAAAATATGCTTAAATTAGAACACTTGGCAAAAATACGCAATTAATATACAAATGAGTAATGTTTTAATAACGAACAATTTATTATTTCGAAAAGTATTAACATTTATAGAGTTTTTTTATCGTTAAATGTTTTCAAGTTTTTACTTTTTTAAATGAAAATATATATTTTTTATTCCACATTTCAAAGCAGAATATTCTTGTTATGTATACGTAAAACTTAAATTTCGAACAAGTAGTTGTTTATTTATTATTTATGATGTATCATAAGTTATAATTATTTTAATTTTAAATGCACAGAATATAAAGGTATTTACCTTATCCATTACATTGTGTTAGTTCATTATACACTTCTCAAAACATTAAATATTTTGATTGTTAATTAGATACTCATTTCATCTTATTATTATCTTATCATATTATTTTTGTTATTGCTGTTAATATTGTCTTTATAATTTATAAATTAATATTTTTAGGCTTCGGTCTGTATGGCATTATTTAATGAAATAAATAAATAGAATAAAAAAAGATAGGTGTATCATTTAAAAATGTCATTAGATATAATATGCACGGTTTTTTATAATTTCTCATAAATACGTATACAATTTACTACGTTTTAAACACATTAATTACATTATATTATATTAGTGTAAGTACATTCACAAAACAGTTGAGCTATAATTTACAGTACGTGCGAAGAATGCTCACTAATTAATTTTATACATGAATTAAATAGTAGAATTGAATTCTTCATGGCTTATCGTTGTGTTTATTATTAGTTTAAAAAATAGTTTAGACAGACTAATATACCTACTCGTATTACTTATTTATACTTGTTTTTTCGTATTATTTATTTAATATTTAGAATTGTCATTGATTATAAATATTTAAACAATTATAATCAATGGTATAGCATTCAGTTACCTACTTTATTAATATTATAAACTCAACTCCAGTACACAAATTTTATTTTTACTAAGAGTCAGCATAAAAACATTTTTTTGATGAATAATATAAGTGTTATGTATAAGCTATAAATTCCTTAATGGCTATATATTTGATTATGGTATTTAATTATCATTCATAAAAATGTTATTAATATTAATGAATTATTTACCTATTTTTATATCATACATAGTGTATCATATGTCGTATCAACGCATAGTTTTTTTTATGATTAGACATGGATTGATAAAATAGAATTTAAAAGAAATTTAAAAATTGTGTTTGGTTAATTATTGATTGATTTTGGTAATGCTTTTTTCTAAATACATTTGTTTGATCAATTTATACATTTTGGTTAATTAACTTAGAAATCTTGATCCTAAATTCTTAAACTCAGTAAGTTAATTAATAAATTTAATTTGAATATTTAAATTTTTCATACCGTCATACTTTACAAGCTTAATAAAAAATTATTTCGTTCATTACAACTTTAATTGATTTTTGTCAACAAGATACGTTTTAAGTTAATTATATAAAAGACACACGAGTTATGTAAACACAATTTAAGGTACTTAATATAAATCATATTTTGGAGATAATGACATAGGTATATTATTATCTATAAAAATATTATAAAAACTGCTGAAGGTTAAAAAAATAAATAAAGGTTAAATTAAGTTAAGAATTTAATGATAATAATAATAGCAATAATTACTAATAATATTATATCTAATAATGCATAGTATGTTATCATACCATGTATAAATATATTTCATTACAAGGTAAAAGAATATTCAAGAAAGATCGTCGATCAATTAAAATTAACTCCCAAGATAACATAATACCTTTAATATGTAGGTATATAATAATATCGAATATATATATATATAGTTGTATATACTTGCTCAATTATGTGTATATCATACGCATTACCTTCCTAGCTATTATGTAAATATTCATGTAGTTATACATGATCATGAACATTTTTATTTATTACATCCATAATATAATGATATTATATAGGTCGATAAAATATACTAAATATAAGTTTAGTTAAGTTAGTTTACTTGAAAAAAAACCCTATACGAAACATATACGTATAAAAAACAATTTTCATCACGCTTCTTTTAGATTTCTGGCATTTTTTTTTTGTATATAATATTCATTATATATATGACAAAGT